TCCCTTGTAACACTTTCTCAGGACATCTTACTCTGCACCACATTTTTGTTCTTCTAAACTAGCTGACTCCAATCTCCCATAATGTTAGCCCTAATCCCCCATACACTGATTTACACACTGTCCACACAGCTCGGTCTGCTCTCTGTCTGCACAGAGATCAGAATAATGACTTGCTGTGATTCCTGGATGCAGGTCAAATATGACTGCCTTTCCTGGGGCTGATATAGTGTCTGCCGTTTCAACACTCCTCATTGACCTCATACATGGCAGAAAAATAACAGGATTTCTTCTCTGTGCAGTACATGTGAATTCTGATAAAGTGCAGAGTATTTTCTGAAGTGGCAACTGCAAGCATGCATAAAATTATAGAGCATTTTAACATAGCTCACCTACTGAGAATTTTCAGTAATATTTGAAAATATTATCTTATTAAACTTCTATCTTTTCTTTTATATGGTCTAATGAGGCATGAAGAACTCAAACTCAGGCCTCAGTGACACCCTTCCCACTGTGTTATATCTGTTTAAACAGAGAAGACCACAACTATAAGCCTGGTTTTCGCCCAGGGCTTAAAAAAGCTACTTATTAAAATGACAGGTTTTATACTTCCTTTGAGCTACAGGCTGTATACTCTAAGGTAAAGAAAGTGTACTGTGGTATGGTAAAAAGAAAAAAACTTTACGAGCATGTTTCATAATGTTCTGTTTTCAGGGGGCACCTTTTTCCCCCGTCAACCATTTACAGATGAAAAAGAGAATTCACACTCACATGTTTCATTTCATCGCCATGAGACCGTTGCAGTCTTGAATCTGCAATGTAATCTCCACATGAAAGCTGCAGTTTTTCTCTTTAATCTCTTATCAGCAGTTAAGACCATAATGTACAGATGTATAATTTTATGGCTATAGATGTATAGCCATGAAAACTATACGTCTATCTCTGTGTCAAGCACAAAAGAGCAGATGCGACCTTATATGGGCGACTGATGTTATGCACCAAAATACTGGAATACCAAAAACAGCACATTCTTTCATTGAGATTCAGAGAAATGGCTCTAGTGATCATTACCTTTTCAGCTTGAAAAATGATAAGCATTTCCATTTCGACTGGGGAGCACAATGACCTCTTAAGAAGAGCTATTCTACTGATTAGCACAAACAAAGAATGGCATAAAGACCCTTGTTTGGCATGTGCTCCATACCCATAATTTCAAATCTCTTTCAAATAAAGATGATTGATCTTAGTAAGCTCCAAGTAAAAGAGCTTAGATTCAGGACTCAAAGAAAGAAAAAGTCAATATAGGAAGCAAAGGGAAGTAACAGAAAAGCATGCAGCTCATTAGAAAATGTTAACTTTAACAGGGGGGCAGGCTGACACTGACTGAATATAAGGGGTAGTAATTATTTTAAAATGGGCTGAACCACTATTGCTATACAGGCTGGACAGAAGGAATCATGGATACAAAAGCACCTCTCAAAAGCTTTAACCTAGCCCTGGATGGATGGATGGATGGATGGATGGATGGATGGATGGATGGATGGATGGATGGATGGATGGATGGATGGATGGATGGATGGATGGATG